CATTAGAGGCTTTGCACAGAGTGTACCCCATCCGCCCTGACAAGAATCTATGAACACAGTTTTTAAAAACCCTGATGGTAGGTATCAATTGTTCAGTAAGATGCAACTGATGCCCTGTGGAAAAAAAAGTGGTCTGCTGTTGAATGCTGCAGAGAACTTGAATACCTTAAAACAAATGTCAGGAGACAGCTGGTTGTTTGTTTGTTTGTTTTAAAAAGGTGATTAAACCCATGGCCTCCCCTGCTGAAGGGTCTGTCTATCTTTGAGAACTTTCAGGCCAGATTCACAACCCGTGTGGGACAATGAGGAAGCTGATCTAAGGTGATGTAATGTGGCAAGAAGTTGTCTGAAATTGTGTGAGTCAGGCTTGAATCCCTCTAGGAGGCAAAGCTCTCTGGGTACCAGGGAAAAGCTACAGGTAAGCGGATGGCAAAGGGCATTCTTTTCCTGCCTGGACAGATGGTTTCTTCCAACTTCTACCTCCCTCACGTGTCTCTCTCTGTGTGCCACCCACAAACATTTGGACTCCTGTCATTTTGTTCCGTTAACATTCCTGCTTTTTCTGAACATTTTTTGCTGCTTTATGTGCATTCACAGGCAAATGCATCACTGGATTATTATCCTCACAGCAAATGCAAGTGAGCTGGTGCCTGCATGCAGAAAGTGCTCTGGCACTACTGAGGCCAAGCTTGTTAAACCCACTAGTAAATTTTGCTACCATATATTATGCCTAAATAGGTGTATTTTCTGTGGATGAGCACAGGCCCCCTGTATCTGTGCATTAAAACACACACACAAACACACCCTAATCTGTTTCTGCATCCCTCTGTGCTGTCTCTGCTTTCATCTGTAATTCTGGTTCTGAGCTGCTCAGTATAAGACAAAGTTCTGGTTTCCCCACTCACTATACCAAGGAATCTAAAAATGGTTATCACTCCCCCCCTTTTGACCAAAGTGGATGAAATATACAGGCAAATTTGCTCCTTCAGAGTGGATTAAGCTTGCCAAACTGCAGACAAATAGGTACAGGGGCTTTCTGAGGGGGAAGTGAAAGGGATTAGCTTTCCTCCACAATCCTGTCATGACTCTGGTCCAGCAGCAATCAAGATTGCAGAGGCTGCAGAGTCTCCATCTGAGGAGCCAGACAAGGCACCAGGCCAAGTCAAGGGCTCTGAGCTTGCTGGTGGAGTTTGTGGCTTGAGTACCTCAAAACGATTATGAGGTGCTACGTATTTTTGCTTGTGCATTTTAAAACTTTGCAGCTGCACACTAACTTCCCTTTGCAGTGCTTGTCTCTTCCGATGTGCCTTAAGCATGAGAAGCAACACGCTCCCTTCCTGACCAATTTTGGAAATGGATAAAGTTGCACCGTATCGAGGAAAAACATCTCAGGTTTTCCTTCTCCCTTTAATGTTCTTATTTAATGAGTTAATTTTTCAGCAGTGGCTATTTTGCACACGTTTTTGTAGCGATGCTTTGATCTCCAAGCTCTGTAATGCTCTTCCAACTTTGGGTAATCAAAAGACGTGCTTCTGTCAAAGGCTTCTTGACAGGAGCCAAGACCCCCATGGGGGATCTTTGATCCATTTCCCCCACTGGTGAAGCAACCTGTCAGGGCTGGTAGAAGGTCACCATCTTTGATCTTCTCCATCCGCTAAGTCAGCTGCTGGTACCTCCACCGACTCCCCTTTCCTGAGGACAGGAAAGTTCTTTTCCTTGCCACAATGATGCCACATTACCCTAAATTGTCTCTCCCTTCTCCAGTCATTGAAAATTGTTCGCATCACTTCACAAGCTATTGACAAAAGCATCTTCAACCCATCCACTCTTCTTCCCCACAATGAATAAAACGAAAAGCTGAAATGCTTTCCTTCCCAGAGGATGATAGAAAGATAGTCTAAATGGTAAATGATGGTTGTAGATTCTAAAAAAAGAAAGAAAAAGCAATGGTACATTCTGCAGTGCTTTCTAAATTAATTTTCCTGGGAATAATAGGAAACTTTTAGGGGGGTATGGGACGCGGGTGGCGCTGTGGGTTAAACCACAGAGCCTAGGACTTGCCGATCAGAAGGTCGGCTGTTCGAATCCCCGTGACGGGGTGAGCTCCCGTTGCTCGGTCCCTGCTCCTGCCAACCTAGCAGTTTGAAAGCACGTCAAAGTGCAAGTAGATAAATAGGTAGCGCTCTGGCGGGAAGGTAAACGGCATTTCCGTGTGCTGCTCTGGTTCGCCAGAAGCGGCTTAGTTATGCTGGCTGTACGCCGGCTCCCTCGGCCAATAAAGCGAGATGAGCGCCGCAACGCCAGAGTCGTCCGCGACTGGACCTAATGGTCAGGGGTCCCTTTACCTTTACCTTAGGGGGCTATAAAGTTTTTCCCCAATCAAAATTCAGCATAAGGAAAGCTGTATTCAGAATCTCATATGCCATCCATGGAGGGTGTCTTCAGTCTTTTGCAAAGAGGGTGCCATAAATTCCCCTCATTTTTGTCACTGCCTTATTCTCTCTTAATTTCATTAAATTTTGAAGCTCCGAGAGCTATCCCCAAATCCACTTCCACACTTGGAGCCATTTTCATTCTGCAATTTATGGCAGTCCAGAAACCTTTAATAGCACTAAAAACCTGAAGCTGAGGAACACACAGGTGGGCAGGGGCTGTTGCTGGAAGTGAGTGATTTATGACAGTTCACAGAGAATACTGCAGGTCAGGCTCTAACTGGTTTATAACAACCCTCTAGTGCTGCCCAGAAGTGTTAGAGCCCCTGTTGCAGGCTGGGGCTTGGGCTGAAGCTGAAAGAGTAAGTTAAAACAACCCTGAGGTGTTATCCACTGCCTTTATTGCAGCTTGGGTTCAGAGAACAGCAGACTACAGTTCTGCAGGATAGTTTGCTATTATACTCCTATTCAGACCAGGCAGCTGTACGAAGAGAACGTGTTGTACAGCAGCTCTGCAAGGTAGTCTACTGTTAATATTATAAGTCAGAAGTGAGGTTGAGTCTGGCAAAAATTTTTTAAAATTAACCCCCCCCCCTACTTAAAATGCCCTCTTGGGCTCACAGGCAAAATCATGCATACAGAAGACTCATGGTTTCAGGCCGACTGGCTGCACATTTAAGTGTTCAAAAACTAACTAAAACAAAATTACCCACGAAGTAAGATTTAAGTTAGAGGAAGTTAGAACAGCCGCCATTGCTAACCCCCCCCCCCCAATTCACTCAACCACAGGCTCAGGTAAAGCACATGCAGCAGAGTTATGCTGCAAAAATTTATTGCAGCACTCCAGTATTGTAGTCTAATTTTCCTTTGGTCATGGAGCTGGAGCCGAAACCACTCATGTGCAGAAGGGAAACATCCGCAGACTTGGGCTCACCCTGAGGTGTGCAGACACTCCACAAATCCACCCCTCCCCCCAACACTACAATAACTCAATGGCACAGAATGTTGAGGGGAGGGGGAGTTGATAACCAGGTGTGTGAAGAATAAAGTGAAGCAGCTGAAACAGGGACACAGGGATAAAGGACAGAAAGGACCATCTCTTTGCCTGGATAGGGCACTTCCTAGTTCTCACCGGGAAGCTATTTTTAAATGAATAAGTGTGATCTCCAGTCCATGCAGATGCTCCTATGCACATCCAGCATTATGGGCCCCTTTTGGTGCATGCAGCCAAATTTGATGACCGGATCACCCTGGGAAGCTTCTGCCATAATAAATGTGTTAATCTCAGAGCGTCACAAGACTCTTTGTTGTGGGAATATGAGACTCAAAAAGCTGAATCACTGGCAGGGGTATTTTGCTCCTTTGCTTACCTGAATGGGGGCCTTCAGACAGAAGAGGGCACTTTAATCTCAAAGATTTAGCATCTTGAAGGGAAGACAGGAAATTAAGAATATGAACAAAGTAAAAATAGGAAGTGTTGAATATTCTGAAATATAGACATGATCTAACTTTAGCTAGGCAGAGTGTGGTACTACTGAATGGAAGGTTTAAGGTTCTGTCCTTGCGGGATGACAGCAAAGCTTGTTGGGTGGTGAAGATAAAGAGAAAAGGTGGATTAATATGAAGGCAGCAAAATCTGTATCTGCCGCTTTATCCTTAAGCCACCTTCCTCCCTCATCCATTCTTCACATCCCACCCCATTCCTCTGCAACAGCTTTGTTTATCTTATTCATTTATGTTTATTTGTTGCATTTATATCCCACCTTTTTCTCCATGAAGCTCAAGGTGGGACACATGGTTCTTCCCCTTCCTCATTTAATCCCCATAAGAACCCTGTGAGGTAGATCACCCAGTGAGCTTACAAAAAGATGGAAGAGTTCTGGAGAGTTCAAAAACCTGCTCACTATTTCATGGATTTTGATTCATCCTAATAAATATATTTTGGGACACGGGTGGTGCTGTGGATTAAACCACAGAACCTAGGACTTGCCGATCAGAAGGTCGGCAGTTCGAATCCTCGCGATGGGGTGAGCTCCCGTTGCTCGGTCCCTGCTTCTGCCAACCTAGCAGTTCAAAAGCACGTCAAAGTGCAAGTAGATAAATAGGTACCGCTCCAGCGGGAAGGTAAATGGCATTTCCGTGCACTGCTCTGGTTTGCCAGAAGCGGCTTAGTCATGCTGGCCACATGATCCAGAAGCTGTAAGCCGGCTCCCTCGGCCAATAAAGTGAGATGAGCGCCGCAACCCCAGAGTCGGCCACGACTCGACCTAATGGTCAGGGGTCCCTTTACCCTTTAATAAAGATATTTATTTAAGCATGGATTCCTTCCCCCTTCAACAAACATGCCTTCCTTTAGCATACATTTTTTTCTCCTGTCCAGGAAGACTCCTTTCTGGAGTAACACAGGCAAAAAAACTGAACGTAGCGTTAGATGGGAAGGGGTGGATTGAAAAGCAGTGAGGCTGACCCTGCTGTTATGCAGGTTGAGGCAGCAGTCAACTGGCTTTGCGTGACAACAAAAAGTTCATTATTTAATTTATTCTGGTTTGAGTTTTGCTTCTGAAAAGAGGCACTGTGAGCTGAGTGATAAAGCCGTTTATTTGGCATGCAAAAGATCCCAGGTTCAATCCCCAGCAATCCCTGGTAGGTCAGGGGAAAAATAAGTTGGCAGAGCACTGGGGTGATATCCACCACAGCTCTGATGGAGATGCAAATTGACATCTTAAAACAACAACTAAAAACTGAATATATCACAATGAAGCCATGCTTGAGAAGCATTTCAGTCCCAGCATAGCTCCTCAGGGGATGTGAAAGCATATCAGGCCACCATCTGGCTTAAGCTAAGCCGGTCTGGGTCTGGCTGGTGCCTGGAAGCACGCATGATGGCTTGGGTTCTGTGCTGGAAGAAAATAAACCAAATAAATAAAAGTCAGCCTTGTAAAATCCTAAGATATATATATGTGCTATCATCCACACCTAGGGCAAACTTTTTTCTTTTAATCTCGACTTGGCACACCTCTGAGGTAAAGTGTTGGTATAAATTGCTGCTGAGATTATCAGTGTTTTCATAAAATATTTTCTTGTGGAACTCCTTGGGAGATTCAGCCCCTGTGAGGGGCTTATGGCACCTAGGAAATAAATGGGCCTCTGTAAATCTCTTTTGTCATCATGGTGGTCTTTGGCTGAAATGGTTCAAAGCTTTGTTCTCACCTTTACAGAAGCAAAATGAAGTTCTCTTTCCAACGGCTTTCAAGTTCCACCTAGTCCTGGGCCAAGGTTAAAGTAAATGAACAGCTCTGGGGTTTACACATTGTACAAAGTGAGGAGGAGGAGCCTGCACAAACTTAACTAAATGGGTTTGAGGGAAGGGAAGATGTGAATAAAAGACAGACATTCAGGAAGGAAGGAACAGGAAAATCACAGAGAGAGAGAGAGAGATAAAGATGGACCTGCAGAACAGCTGAAGAACAAACTGGTCATGCGAAACAGGAACAAATAATCCCCAAAGGACTCTGCTGGGGGTTGCAGTGCAGAGGAACCAAGAGACAATAGAAGGGTCAACCAGGCATTTAAATTTTGAGGGGAAAAAGAGAATGTGGATTTGCATAAATTTTGCATATGCTAATTTATAAGGACAGATGCAAATCTATAACTTAAATAGAAAGCCAATGCATCTCACCCTAGTGGGGAAGACCATGTCCAGGTGATGTGCCTGTCTGCCTGCTCAAGTTGCTGCTGTCCAGGTGCTGAACGCAGATAGGCAACTCCAAGGCAACCTCCCGCTCTCCCTTCTTAGGACTCCTTATGTTTAAACCAGACACGGACTGGGCAGATGATTAAATAGAGGATGCTTCACCTTGGTGAAGTAGGGCGCATGGCTTCTCTCTGACTGGACCCATCATGTGGTGAGTCTGCTCGTGCTGCCTGGCAGTGCCAGTCTTGGGGCAGAGGGAGAGTCTGGTGGGGATTTCAACCCCTTGAGCAGAGTTGATGCCCTTGCCTGTCATCCTCTGCCAGTGTCACCCCATGGAACTCTTCTCCCCCACAATGCCAGACATCTTGCCAGCCCCCTGCCATGCCTTCTCTTTGCCAACCTGCTGGCAGGACGGCAAGTTAAGTGAGGCCTGTGTTGGGCCCTTAATAAGATGTGATTCACTCGTTGAGCTTAATTAGCAATTCAGCTAACGGTTTGTAATTCAGGCACGACCCTGATTGCATCCGAATGCTACTTTATTTCTTCGCTGCTGTTCGCATTCTGAGCACTAATTATGCTTCTCTGCCTGCTAATTGCTTTCCAGCCTACCACTGCTGCCTCTTTCCAGTAACATTTATTTTTCATGCCTCTGTGTGTTTAAAGGTACGAGGGCGGAGGATACGTGTGTTTAAAGGTACGAGGGCGGACCAAGTTGAAAGGAAGATGGGGAGGACCTCCGACTGGTTCCCCGCTCTCCACTCCTCCCCTGCTCTGCTTCCAAACTCCAAATGCGTCAGAGGAGGGGTGTGTGTGTGTCAAACAATCCTCCTCTCTGCTTCCTTCAGGCCAGATGTCAAGGAATTGTTGTCATTAATGCTGCTTGGAAAAACCCTGTTGTTCAAACAATAAAATACAGTGGTACCTCGGTTTAAGAACAGCCCTGTTTACGAACTATTCAGTTTATGAACTCTGCAAAACTGGAAGTAGTGTCCCGGTTTGTGAACTTTACCTCGGTCTAAGAATGGATCCGAACAGTGGAAGGGCACCGGCGGCAGGAGGCCTCATTAGGGAAAGCGTGCCTCAGTTTAAGAACAGTTTTGGTTTAAGAATGGACTTCCGGAATGGATTAAGTTCATAAACTGAGGTACCACTGTATTACAATGTTACCTTCCTGGAAAGTGACTGTTGGGTATTCAGAAACGTCGAAGGTGCCTTCACCTCTTATTCGGATTAGATTGATTACATATTCTTGCCACTTTTCATTCAAATGAATCTCAAAGCAGCTTACAAACAAAATAACAACAACAAGGTAGAACTTAATAGACCATCACAAACACAGCATAACTCATATAGAATAATTAACAAATCATCCGTGAAACAATTGCAACATATAAAGCACTGTCAACAAAGCTGCAACTAAAAAAATAAGCTACCGTAAACACCACAATTAAAGCAATTATATGATTAATAAATCAATACAGCATTTATAATCTATAAAAGAATATGAACAAACAAAATAGCAACCAAAAATAACACAAACTAAGCACTCTGCTGCCTCAACTGGGGGAAGTGAGGTCATAGTTTCTTTCTTGCACTACTAACTACTACAAAAAACACCTCCGCTGATGCTCCCAGTTGGGGAGGATGACCCTGTTAGGACTGCAGTTCCTCAGCTGTTCCGTTGTCCCTGATATACCCTGAAGCAACTTTAAAGCAAGAAACAACAACCAAGTACACCCCAGGTTTATAAACAAAAACCAAATGGCTGAAAGTCTTGTTCCTTCACTCCTTTGCTCTCCACTTTAGTACCATGGGGATTACAACACCTCTGTCCTTGCAGGGATGCTGTAAGGACTGCAACAAGGAAATGCATGTGAATTATGTTGAGAGCCTAAAAGCACCATATCAAAGCAAGTATTAGTATTGCTATTAGCAATACTGCAATACATTTTTCAGGGTTGTGGTGTGAAATAGGGCTGGGGCTGAGCCCTGGCTAAAACCAAGTCTCATTTGGGGCAGATAGAGCAGGATTCTTTGCTTTGAAACTGAAGCAGTCAAGTTTATCCCCTTTTCTACCCATTTCCTGTGAAGAAGTGGACATGGACAGATGGCAGAAAATGCTTTTCCATTGCATAGCAACAGATTGGAAAATATAATTACTGTGTGGCGTAAGGGTTGTAACAGCTGTGACCCCCCCCTGCAAAAAATCCAGTGTGTGGATTGCAGGAAGCAAGAGGACACAAAACATATAATTCAGCCTGAACTGAAGGGAGAATTGAAAACAGCCAGGGGGGCGGCTGTGTATTGATTCTCCTTGATCAGCCTGTAGGTTGTGCATAACAGGAGAAAACGAGGGCAGCTGGTTCCCTGACATAGATTATCATATTTGAAAAGACTGTGATTGACTGTGGGACTAGTCTTGCAATATTGCTATCAGGGATCAGTCTTCTGAGAATGGTTGGATCCCAGACTAAACTAGCTGAACTGAGGCCTCACTTAAATCCATAAGAGTTAAGCTGAGTCATGACTAAATTGATCATTGATTTCAATGGGATTTAAGTTCAGCTAATTTAGGGCTCATCCAGACTTTCATTTAGTGCTGAGTTTTGTAGTCACAGGTCTGTGATTTCCAGGTGTGGGTCTGGGCAGTTTTCCTTTTGTCCCTTTGCTTTCCCTGGAAAAACTTGATGTTTACTGCTGAATCAGAACAGATCAGTGACTGCTCCGAGGTCACTCAGGGAGCTTCATCACTGAGAGAAGATTCGAACCCTGATCTCCCAGGTCCTAGTCTGAGATTGGAGCCGTTACACCACCCTGACTCAAAAGCAGCACATGTGCGAAGCAAGTTTCTTCCAACTGTTCCTTCTCTGGCGGTTGAATTTTAATTTAACCATGAACCAATTAACAGCTTCAGGCCCAGTGAAGACACACTGCATGCTGGTGTGGAAGGACAGGGGAAGCTGCCTGATATTGTCAGACCATTAATAGTGTGATGTCATGAAAGTCATAGACTTGCATGATCATCCACCCAGACTTGAGGATCATCCAGTCCAACTCCCTGCAATGCAGGAATATGCAGCTAGCCTGCAGCCTTGGTATTATCAGCACTAAACTCCAACCAACTGAGCTATCAAGGTCTACACAGGAGATGGAGAACCTGTGGCCCTCCAGATGTTGCTGGACTACAACGCCCATCATCCTTGAGCATTGGCCATGTGGGCTGAGACTGGTGGAATTTAGGAGTTCAGCACCAGCTGGAGGGCCACAGGTTCCTTGTTTCTGGTCAACACTGACTGGCTCTTCAGGGTTTTAGAACCTGGGATGTTCTGCATGCAGAGCATCCTGCTTGGCTGCTGCTGGCATTTCTTTCTGTATGCATGGAAGCTTGGAGAATAAAGATGTATGCTCCAGGTGGCTCCAAGATTCCTCTGTGCCAGGCAGAGCATGAAATCACCAGTTAGCTCAAGACAATTAAGTCCTGATCTGATCAAAAGGTCCATCATCCAATAACTCCCTCTGAAAATGGCCCAGTCTCCTCCTCTTCATTTTGATCCATTTAGCTTCCCATAGTTAGTGGGAGATGCACTCACGGGGCTGTTCTCCAAACACCTTCTTCCTAGTTGATCAGGAAGAAGATTCATATCGGAAAGAAGGAGAGAGAGAGAAAGAAAGAAAGAAAAAAAATTGAGCAGGAGAAGCAAGCCCACCCAAGCCAATTATAATGCTGTAAAAAGAGCCAACCTGCGAGAGAAGCCCCAGGAAGCCAGCAGTCCCTATTGATCCTTCAAATCTCCTATCTTCAAACAGGGAGAGAGGTGTAATGGTCGGAGCAGGGACCGCTGGTGCTTCAAAACCAAAATTAGCATTGTAAACTCTCTCTCGCTTTTCAGCTTCAAAGATCTGCAATTCAAAACGTGGGAAGTGGAAGCTTGTTAAATGGAGGCAAACTTCAAGAGA